TCTGCCTGGATACCTCCCGCAACCTGCAGCCCTGGGCTGCCAGCACCCACCCCAATCCCACCACCCCCACACTACCATCAAGGAAAGCAAGATTCGGTCACCTCATTATTCAGTCACCAAGTTGTGTGTGGAGGGGGAGGTGAGAGCAGGAGCTGACCCCAGACAGGAATACCAGTTTGCCCATCTGCCACTCACATCCTCCTGGCCCAGAACCTTTCTTCCCAGCCCCCTCTGGGGTTTGCCTAACTAGACTAGTAGGCTACGGGATGTGGCTATCAGCAAGATGAGGCCCCGGCCAGGGCCATTTCTTGCCTGTGGACCTGTCCTTTTACCCTTTGATTCCCTTAGTGCTCCCCATGGCTCCCCAGGCCCTCTCTGACCCCTTAACCCTGGTGTCCTCTAGGTCCTCCCCCAACCCCCCAGCCTCCTAGGCCTGGGTTTCACTAAAGAAGGTGACTGCTTGTTCTGGAAACCCAAAAACGTGCAGGAATGGGCTCGAGCAAGACAGAACAGCCCTCACCATGGCTAGCTCATGCATCCAGCTTTGACTCCCCCACCCTGTGACTGTAGGACCCTCCTGCTGACGTAGCATCAGGTCCCTCTGAGATCCCTGGGCCTGACTGGCTCCCCAGGGAGACCCATTTGGGGAGGCATGCCTTCTCTCGTGGAGAGGGGAAGGAAGCATCCTGGGCACCTCTCCTTCCGAGACAGAGGAGGCCTCCCATAAAGGCTGACCACAGGGTTCTTTAAGGCCACGAGGACTGTCTGCCTGCTGCCCCTGCCTGGCGGTAATGCAGCCTCCCACTGGGACCATGGCCACCAGTAAACAGAGCCTTCCTTGTGGACGCCTCCAACAGCTGCAAGCTGGAAAGGGAGGGCAGGTGCTTAGTGCTCCCGCCACCCATCCCACCCTGCTTCCCTGCTCTTCTGTCCCTCTCTGGTGTGCATCCTGCCTGGCCACAGGCCCAGAATCAGGCCCTCCTGGCCCATTCTGTCCTCCTCTCCCCCACAGGGGCAGCAGCACACTTGGTTCAGAGTGGGAACCTGCATCGCCTCTCCCCATCAGCTCTGCAGTCACTGTCCTTGTTGAGCTCAGGCCCAATAGGCCACAGGGAGTCTTTTGCTATCTTTTATTCTTTTCTTCTCTCTCTCTCTCTTTCTCTGTCTTTTGGTACTGGATATTGAAACTAAGGGCACTTTACCACTGAGCTACATGCCCAGCCCTTTTTGAGAAAGGTTCTCACTAAGTTGCTTGGGGGCTCACTCAATTGCTGAGGCTGGTCTTAAACTTGTGATCCTCCTATCTGATCCTCCTGAGCTGCTGGGATTACAGGCCTGAGCCACATGCCTGGCTTCTTTTGCTGTCTTATCCCCAAATAAAGTCCACCTCACAAGGGCAACATGAGGAACAAGGCAAACAGCTTCGTGCCAGGAAGAGTTCTGACTCATGCAGCCAGGTGGCACAACCTATATTCTATGACCTGTTAAATAGAGTGCCATGCTGACCTCCCACCACTGTGGGCACTGGTCAAGAAAGCAAGAGCTTTTTCTAGTGAGAATGGGCCCTCAGTCTACAGACTGGGAGTGGGGTGGCTTTAACAGGATGCCAGAATGCTGGGGACTCAAACATCTTGAAGGGAAAACTGCAGGGTTGTGTTCATTTGGGGGAAAACTGGAGCTTCTCCCTCCTTGACCATTTGTAACAACTCACCACAGGGTTTAAAAGGACTCCCTATCTACTGCCCAGGCAGTTAAGCTACTCTGTATGGCCCTAAGCCAACTCAGGGGATGCTAAGGGCACTGGGAGGACCCTAGGATGCCTGGCAATGACCCTGCATACCCCACATGCCATTGCAGGACTCCAGCCCTTCTGAAGAATGGGTCTTATTTCAGTGGTCAACAGGAGCCAGCCCCCTCTCTGGACCAGTCTGTCCAGAAGGGAGCTCATCCCCCAGGCCCTGCTGGGACAGTTTGGCATTGATGCTGACTCACCCTCTGGGTTCAGTTGGCAAACTGGCAAACGTGGGCAACAGAATGCCCCTCATACCCCAAGAGCTACAGATCACGGGTCAGGGGTGGGGGAGGGGATGAAAATGCTGATGTCGCTACGTAGGCTCAGGAGGCTGCTTGTTTGACAATATTTCAGTCATTGGATACCAAAACAACTCTGTGGTATTGCACATCAGGTGATGAGGAAAGGGTGCATTTCCTCTACGTAGATAAATAAGAAGTAGAAATTGCCCCCAATACCTTCCTGTTGGTAGACAAAGGGTAAAAAGTTCACCCGGAAGGCCAGATCCAGCGATGCCCACAGGCCAAGCAAGGGCAGACACCTACGGTGTAATTCATCCCTTTTAAAACGTTACAAAAACATAACTCAAATACACTGCTTTTAAAGTGCTTGATGGTGCAACCACATGTAGTTTAACGTTTTGTTTTCCCTCTGAAGTACAAACAGAGACAAGGCCAGGCATGCCAGGCCCTGCAGTCTCCACGCAGCTCCGCGATCCTGGGCCGCGGCTCCAAGGCGACGGGCGCCGGGCCAGCACCGTCTCCACAACACTGCGCACCGCCGCAGAGGCGGCCGGGGCGGAGTCCCTGCGCGTCCGGGGAGGACCCAGCCGCGCCGCCGGACACCAAGCCCGCTTCTAATTTAGCCGTTCACAGCTCGCACCCCGAGCTAGGCTTGGAGACTCCCCAGGACAGGCCCGGTTCCGCCTCTATCGAGCTCGCCAGGGCCCAGGTGTATCGCTGGCTGCCCGCCGGGCCCCGGTGCTGCGTCGCTCTGCCGCTTCCGTCCTCGAGAAGGCGCACTGTCGGGCTCCAACCCAAGTCCAGCCTACACCGCCGGCTCCCAGGCCCCTATTCAGGCCGGAAACCCGCGCCCGGCTCCCCGCGCCCCCGCCCCCGCGCGTCCCGCTGCATTGCGGCGGTTACCAGGACGCCAACCCAGCGCAGCCAATAGCGCCAGCGCGTCGGCGAGCTTCCGAGAGTCAGCCAATGGGAGGACAAATCAATCATTTGAAACACCCAATGGACTAGACACTGTTGAGCCCGGTAAGGGGGAATTGTGATAGGGAGGTCCGCAGCCGCTCTTGACCAATAACAAGTGGGCGTCGTTGGGAAGGCAGCCCGTAGGCCGCACGATTGATGGTGATATAACCAATCAAGTGAGCCCGCTTGCCGGCCTCGTTCTGGGGGCCCAATCCAGGGTTGGTAGAGGCGGGCGCGATGGGTATATAAGCACTGGCGGAGCGTCGGTTGTAGCACTCTGCGCGTCTGCTCTTCCGCTTTTTCAGTTCCTCTTGCTTCCCGCGCAGCCGCCACCATGAGGGAGATCGTGCACCTGCAAGCCGGGCAGTGCGGCAACCAGATCGGCGCCAAGGTGGGGGTCCGGGATACTGCGGACCTGGCTGGGCGAGCCCTGGGGGAGGGAGATCAGCCGGCCGACCGGGGAAGATGGCGGCACCGCTGGCCGGGCGGCGCCCCGCATTGCGGCCCAAGCGCCCGCGCGGGACCGGGCCCGTACCTGGGCGGCTAGCGGGGATGGGGGTGGACTCGGAGGCTCTGTGGGCCTGGCGACGGGGCGCGCAGGCGGGGGAGGGGAGGGCCTGCCGCACCCATCCGGGGCGGGGCCGCTTCCCGGCGCACCGGCCGCCGTGACTCAGCCTGCGCCTGCCCGGCCTGCCCTCATCGATTGCAGTTCTGGGAGGTGATCAGCGACGAGCATGGTATCGATCCTACCGGCACGTACCACGGGGACAGCGATCTGCAGTTGGAGCGCATCAATGTGTACTACAACGAGGCCACCGGTGAGACCCCCGCCCCAGTCCCTCTTGCGACCCCGCGGGCCTCCCCTCGCTGACCCTCTTCTTCCGGCAGGTGGCAAGTACGTGCCCCGCGCTGTGCTCGTGGACCTGGAGCCTGGCACCATGGACTCGGTGCGCTCGGGCCCTTTTGGGCAGATCTTCAGGCCAGACAACTTCGTTTTCGGTAAATAAGGGTGGGGGCTGGGCACGGCTTGCTAACCTGGGCGGCTCAAAGGTTAAGGGGCTTCCCCAAGGACACCGCTGCTGGAATTACATAGCTGGGGCCCCCTGGACACCTCTTGCCCTCTGAGTCACTCAGTCTCTGCCTAAAGCCGCTTTGGAGGCAGGCCCAGCTGTCTGCCTTCCGGCAAGGAGGGGTAGATGTAATCTCCATATCATGTTAGCTGTGTGGCTGCCCTTGGGAATTGGCCAGGGTTTCCCACTGAGGGTTTTATTAAACTGCCTCAACTTTGACGCCTGATTTAATTTTTTGGTGGTACGGGCTGCTGTGGTATTACTTGGGTTCGTTTTCCTTATGTCCAGGGCATAATCTCACCATGTCATTTGGTATGTGTGTTGGAGACCAGTAGTGATCACATACTTAGCAAGTATGATAACTTGTTCTCTTTTTATAGGTCAGAGTGGTGCTGGGAACAACTGGGCCAAGGGGCACTACACAGAAGGCGCGGAGCTGGTGGACTCTGTGCTGGATGTTGTGAGGAAGGAGGCAGAGAGCTGTGACTGCCTGCAGGGTTTCCAGCTGACCCACTCCCTGGGTGGGGGGACTGGTTCTGGGATGGGTACCCTTCTCATCAGCAAGATCCGGGAAGAGTACCCAGACAGGATCATGAACACATTCAGTGTGGTGCCCTCCCCTAAAGTGTCGGACACAGTGGTTGAGCCCTACAATGCCACTCTCTCAGTCCACCAGCTTGTAGAAAATACAGACGAAACCTATTGCATTGATAATGAAGCCCTCTATGACATTTGCTTCAGAACCCTAAAGCTGACCACACCTACTTATGGTGACCTTAACCACCTGGTGTCTGCCACCATGAGTGGGGTCACCACCTGCCTGCGCTTTCCAGGACAGCTTAATGCTGACCTTAGGAAGCTGGCTGTGAACATGGTGCCCTTTCCCCGCCTGCACTTTTTCATGCCTGGCTTTGCCCCCCTGACCAGCAGGGGCAGCCAGCAGTACCGTGCCCTGACGGTGCCTGAGCTCACCCAGCAGATGTTTGATGCCAAGAACATGATGGCCGCCTGCGACCCCCGCCATGGCCGCTACCTAACAGTGGCTGCTGTGTTCAGGGGCCGCATGTCCATGAAGGAGGTGGATGAACAGATGCTTAATGTCCAGAACAAGAACAGCAGCTATTTTGTGGAGTGGATCCCCAACAATGTGAAAACAGCTGTCTGTGACATTCCGCCCCGGGGGCTAAAAATGTCTGCCACCTTCATTGGCAACAGCACCGCCATCCAGGAGCTGTTCAAGCGCATCTCGGAGCAGTTCACTGCCATGTTCCGGCGCAAGGCCTTCCTGCACTGGTACACAGGTGAGGGCATGGACGAGATGGAGTTCACTGAAGCCGAGAGCAATATGAATGACCTGGTGTCTGAGTACCAGCAGTACCAGGACGCCACGGCGGAGGAGGAGGGCGAGTTTGAGGAGGAGGCTGAGGAGGAGGTGGCCTAGAGCAGCTGTCTGTCACGGGTAAAGCGTGGAAGCAGTGTGGACTCTTTATTCATTCAGCTGTTCTGCAGGCCATATCTCACTGTGCACTTGCTGTCCTTCTGTCCTAACATCACATGCTGTACAGACATCACCATTAAAGCATTTTCAGTGTGCGGTTCGCCTCTCCAGTTCCTTCCGGTAGGCCTTGCGGGTGCTGTTGCCAAAGGTCAGCGCGTAGTTGTCCTGCATGTCTGTGAGGGAGCAAGACTGTAGTTGGCTTAGGCTTGCCAAGGGCTTGGGGCAGGTCTGCACATGGCTCCTGCAGGGCTCACTTGGCCCGTCCTGTCCAGGGAACCAGAGGACCAGGGTAATCCTATGCCAGCTGACCTCTGTCCAGAAATTCAGCAGGGCTGGTGAACCCCTTACAGGCTTAGGATGGTGGGACAACATGGCCAGACAGCAGGACTGCATCAACAATGAAGGACCAAGGCCCCATGGGGCCTCCCAACCCCATCATCACCGCCACCCCCACCCCTGCCACACCCAAGGACAGGATCAGGGAAGTGACCAGTAGATTCTTGGGAGCAGTACTCACGAGGGATGAAGCCCATATAGAACGGGATCAAGCCCTGGCTGTTGTAGATGGTGGTGTTTGGCCAGTGGTTCTTGGGCAACCTCTCACCCAAAGAACAGACTGGATTTCTGAACAGGAACTGGGCAGACAAAACAGGTGCTGACAAACCCTGCCTCCACTACCCACCTTGGAAGCAAAAGGCTGGCTGGTGGGACATGTTACCAGGAGGGATTTACCACTGAGCTCCATCTTCAGCCCTTATAATTTTGAGACAGGGTCTTGCTGAATTACCCAAGCTGGCCTTGAATTTGCAATCCTGCTGCTGGGACTACAGGGAAGGGCTACCATATCCCAGGACTAGTTCTCAGAAAAGGGTGATGGTGCTCATAGGTCTTCCTGTTTCCCTAGCCCTTGTCAAAATATGTGACAGACCCAGACCTTGTTAGGATGGGGGCCTCTGAGCCAGGTAGAACCCTTCCCCAGGCCTCTCTGGAAGCCTGGCTTTGTGATCCCTTCAGGAGGGGCTGCTGAGGGGGAGTGCAGGCCTAGCTTGGGTGCGGGTGGGGCACCTGGGAGGGGCCTGGATGGTGGTCTCCTGGTCTCCTACCTGGTTCTTGTCGAACTCGTCCATAGCCTGTGTGACTCCATCGCGGTAATTAACACCCATCACCCAAGTGAACCGTGGTATGAAGCCAGCATAGCCTGGGGGTGGGCTGCTGTCAGGGTCCCACCCAGGTCCCCTTGGTTTTCCTCTGGGTATACCCAGTTGCCCCCAGGGGTGTGAGGGAAGCTGGTCAACCTTTCCTAAACATTAGTGACTGTCTTGAGGGTGTAGACAGGTCAAGGAGCACCTCCTGGGAGCAGCTGGGCTCAAAGAAATAGCTGAGGCAGGACAGGATGGCCTGTTTAGGGAGTATGGAAGGTGGAGGGCAGGAGCCTCAGTCCCTCACCCCCTCCATCTCACCTGGACCCCTGTGACCTACTGAGGGACCAGCCCAGGCCCTAGCACCCACCTGAGATAGCCTTGCGTTGGATCAGGTTGGGGTGGTCCAACTGGGGTAGCCGCTGGAACCTGCCTACATCTAGAGTCTCCTGCCTGTGGGGTGGGGGCAGGTACTCGTCCCTCCTGCAGTGGTGCAGCTGGAAGGGGGAAGGGGCAAATCACCACCCAGCTCCCACCTGGGTCTGGGGGCCGGGGTGCGAGTCCAATGCCAGCATGTCTCCAGTCACCTGGGACTGCCCTGGAACCTCAGGGACAGAGGCAGCGGTCTTCCACGCATCTTCTCCATATGCCAGCAGCAGGCCTGGGTGTCCCAACTGTCCAGAGTACCCCTTCCTGCCAGGTGGGCATGGGGGGTAGGGAGGGTAGGGCATGAAACCTGCCGGCAGCAGAACCTGTCTGGATATGTTCTCTGGAGACCCTTGTGCACCCACCTCCTGGGGTGGGAGCTGGCCCAGGATCTCAAAGTTCTTGTATGGCTTCAGACCTGTACAGACATGGCAGCTAGTAACCACATGGACAGGAAGGTGGGCACAGGAAGGGGCAGGGCAGGGAGCAGGGGCCAGCAGCTCACCAGTGTAGTGGGGGATATAGGGCTCATTCAGGTCCCTGCAGGGGATGAAGGGGGGTTTAGACTTGCTGAAGTCCTCAATGAATCTGGGCTTGGATATAGGGGAGAGAACAGAGCAGGGGCTCTTCTGCACGCTGGGATCTGTGAGCAGCTGTGCTGTGGTGCGCCCATAGGTGTTCCCCACTTGGTAACGCAGCTGTGGATAGAAGCCGGCATAGCTGCAGAGGAAAAAGGAGGCAGGGCTGGTTGGCAAGGGAAGATCCCTGGGCAAGGTTCTTGCAATCAGGATGCAGATAGATCCAGCCTGCCTGCTACTCAGCAGCTTCCTGACCTGCAGCAGGTTACCTGACCTCACCTGTGAAATGGGGGTGGTGGGATAGGTCTGGTGGCTCACGCCTATAATTCCAACAGCTTAGGAGGCTGAGGCAGGAGGATTGTTGAGTTCAAAACCAACCTCAGCAAGGCGCTGAGCAACTCAGTGAGACCCTGTCTTTAAATAAAATATAAAATAGGGCTGGGATGTGGCTCAGTGGTTGAATGCCCCTGAGTTCAATCCCCAGTACCAAAATAAATAAATAAATAAATAATAAAAGTGGGTTGTGGGAGCTGTGTTCTGGTGCTCTTAAGCTCAAATGGTGAGAATGTGTCTGGCCCAGAGCTGAGATTTGCTGTCATCACTGCCATCAGATTGTCTTCTAGCCTATTCCCTACCATCTTCCACCCCCTCTCTGATCCTAGTGTCAAAGACAAGGGAATTGGAGAGCTTCGTCTTGCAGGAGCAAGTTCAGGGATGGTGACTTGTCCCAGCACAGAGCCCAGGCAGAAGGAAGTCCATTATACCCCAGCTGGTCCCCGCACAAAGTTATGGCCAGGACTTTGAAGGGGAAAAGTCCTTTAGCCTCAGGGGGAATCTAGGTGCTCCGTCTTGCCAGAGGCCTGTGTGATAACCCAAGGAGTGATTTTTTTTTCCCCCTGAGACAGGGTTTCACTATGCTGCCAGGATGGCCTTGAACTGGCTCAAGTGGCCCCCCACCCTCAGCTTTACAAATAGCTGGGACTATAGGCAAACACCATCATCTTGGTTGAATTAGCTTTACTCCTCCTTTTTTTAAAAAAATTTTTGTAGTTGTAGATGGACAGCATGCCTTTATTGTATTTGTTTATTTGTATTGGTGCTGAGGATCGAGCCCAGTGCCCCACATGTGCTAGGCAAGGGCTCTACCACTGAGCCCCAGCCCCAGCCCTTCTTTACCCTCCCCTTATGTGGGGCTGGGGATGAACCCAGAGCTTCAATGTGTCAAGCATGCTAGGTGCACCCCTGGCATGCTTGTACCCCATGTCTTTTTAGAAGCTGCCAAGGTTAACACAGGCCAAGTGGTTGAAAAGGTGGCAAGGCCAGTGTATGCCTCTGTGCCAGCTGCCTTACCTGCCCCAGCAGTGACCATTGTTAAGAGGTGGCCCAGGCCCCTTAGTCTCTCCCCTAGGTGTGCATCTGTGTGCATGTGCATGGGTGTGTGTACTCCAGAGAGGGCTGCTTGATTTTTATTACTTTGTGGTGCTGGGGATGGAACCCAGGGCCTCACGCATGCTACGCAAGCCTCTGCTGCTGAGCCCCAGCCCAGCCCTTTGTTTTATTTTGAGCTAGGATCTTGCTAAGTTGTCAAGTGGATGGCCTGGGATGTGCCATCCTTCTGCCTCAGTCTTTGAATAGCTGAGAGTATAGGTGTGCACCACTGTGCCTGGCGAAAGGATTTTTATTTTTATATTTTGGGTACAGGGGATTGAACCTGGTGGGGTTCTACCATTGAGTTACATACATCCCCAGTCTTCATTTATTTACTTATTTGTACTGGGGATTGAACCCTCAGGGTTGCTTTACTACTGAACTAAATCCTCAGCCTTTTTCTTCTTTAAGACAGGGTCTCACTAAGTCTAAATTTAGGGCTAAGTTGCTGAGGTTGGTCTTCAACTTATGATCCTCCTGCCTCAGCCTCCCAATTTGTTGGGATCACATTGCACCACCACACCTGGCTCCTTTTATATTTTTTGAGACAAAATCTTGATAAACTGCTGAGGGTCTCACTGAGTTGCTGAGGCTGACCTTGAACTTGGGATCCTCCTGCCTCAGCCTCCCAAGTCTCAGGGATTATAGGCTAGGATTTTTATTTTTGACTTGAGGAGGTTACCTAATGAGGCAAATTGGCTCAGGTTTATCTCATCTCTAAATCGGGAGCTTTATGGAGGAGCGACTGGCACTTACTTAGCCAATCTCTACCAGCTGTTTGGTTGCCCCAGATTCTGCTCCTGATGGACATGCTGGCCACCTGGTATGGCATTCGGGACCAAGGCCAGCAGGGAAGGGTGAGGCCTGAGCCCTCCTCTTCAGCCCCACCCAGAGCTTTCCTGCCCCAGTGTTCTTCAGCCCTCTGGCTGGGCCTCAGTTCTGGCTCCCTGGTCACCCTGGTCTGTCTTTTTTCTTTTTTGTGGTGCTAGGGATTGAACCCAGAGCCTGTGCGTGCGAAGCAAGCACTCTACCAACTGAGCTATACCCCTAGCCCCACCCTGGTCTTTGGTCCCTGCAACGTTGACTTTCAACACCCTGGAGGCCAGGCCCTGCTGCTGCATCCTGCTCTGACCCCAGCCTCCCTCTGGAGCTTGAGGTAGTTCTTACCCAGGGATGTAGTGAGGCTCTGGTGTGAAGAGGTTGTGTTTCTGGGTAGCTGTCATTTTGCCTCAACTCCGCCCTTGCTGGCTCAGCCCCTTCTGCATCTGGCTCTCTTCCCTGAGAGGAGTCCAGTCACCTGGCAACCATTGTGAAGGAGCCAGCACTGCTGGGCTCCCTCTTGGTCAGGCCACCTGTTAACCCTGTGAGTGCTCCCAGGCACCAGTCTAGGAAGCTGTATTGGCAAGGCAGGGGGTCTTGCAAAGACTCCTCCTACTTCAGTGCTCTGAAAACAGACTGGGAGGGGACTGGACTCTGGCAACCCCAAAGGGACCTCCCCTCCAGGTCACCTGCCCCCACCTTAGGGTTTTTTTTTTTTTAAACCCCAGTCCTTCTCCCTGAGGAGGTCAGCTTTGAGTCTGGGGGTCCCACCTGGACAGCTGTGTGGGGCTGTCTTTGGATTCTTTCTGCTGGAGCTGCACATTATTTTCCACTTTGAACAAATCCTGATTTTTTAAAAATTAGGTACAGGAAGAACTTTCTAACCATCATATAGAAAAAAATTAGTAGTATCCCCTCTGTCAAAAAATAGCACAAACAATATAACAAGCCACACTACAAACTGGAAAATATGCACCCTGAGTGATCTACCCCCAAGGTTACAGTACAAACATACTGTGAACATGTCCAGAAAAGCCCAGTCAACAACCGAGTGCCAGAGTGTAGCAGAGAAGTCCACCGAATCAAGTAAACGCTGATCAAATGCTGAGAAGGCAGCATCTAAGCCTCACTGCTAGGAGACACCTTCTGGAGTACAATTGGCTAATACAGGTCAAGCTGGAACAAGACCCTGCAAGCTACCCTGAGGAAGTGCTCTGACCGCTCAGCCAGAGGTGTGTGCATTGCCATTCATCGCCTAAGCAGCAACACAGGGCTTCCCCAGCACACTACACAGCACACGATCACGGTTATGTTCTCAAAGTACACACAACACGGAAGGCAGCCCAAGGCCTAGCAGGTGGAACCCTTGGCCATCTCAACATGCATCCGCCCATCCTCCAGAGTGCCAGGCAGAGGCAGTGCTGGGTAGGAGGGACTGGAGAGGCGGAGATTTCTTTTTTTTTTTCTTCTGTACCTGGGATTGAGCCCAGGGGCCTTGCATATGCTGGGCAAGTGCTCTACCACTGAGCTACATCCCCAACCTGCTGTTTAGAGTGGAGGTCAGGGCTGGGGTTGGCCGGCCCGTCAGCACCAGAGGCTATGGGTAAGGGTTCCGGTTCCTAAGTGCACACTTGCTCCCTCAGGATCATTACTGCTTGCAGCTTGATTGGGCAGCTCAGTTCACCTGGGAACCTACAGCTCCAGGCCCCTGCTGGCCTTTGTGCCTCCAGAAGACAGGTTTTCACTTGGCCCTACAGGGGAAGCAGGGCAGCAGCTCCTCCTCCTCCTCCTCCAGGCAGCCTTCCTGGACCCCTCCCTCTGCCCTTCTTCCTCTGGCTGGCCCCAACACCTGGTAACCTGCAGGACTTGGTGAACAGTCACTATCAGCCTGGGACTCAAACCTCCCAGAAACCCTGTTCAAGTGGGGCCCAGCCCCCAGGAGGCCCCAAAGTACAGGAAAGGAGAAAGGGTTGGGGCAAGAAGTGGGGAGGGTGGTATAGGAGGCCGACGCTGGAGCCCTGGGGAAGGTTAGGGATCTTCTAGACAGACAGCCCCTCCCCCACCCTTGACTCAGCAGGTTGGGGGAGGGGCCTCTTACGGGTGGGGCCCCTGGGGCAGCTTCTACTGGGTTGGACAATGCTCCCTCCCCAAGGAGCTCCTGGCAACAGAGGGGGCCCCTTGATGGCTAATGAAGTCATAAAGCCTGGGAGTGCCCTCAGGAAGACAGCTCTGTATGGAGGATGAATTTTGACCAGAAGGCTGTGAAATTCCTGGCAAATTTCTACATCAATGGGGGCAAACACTGGACTCATGGCCCCCTTAGTCAGAAGCCTCTATGTCCCACCCAGTAATATCAGGGGGCGTTACCAGGTGGGGAACTGGGCACAGCCAGTGGGCTGAGTGAACAGTGGTTGCCGGTTTTCTTGCAGGCCTGAGGCTACTGTGGTGTTGAGAAGCGCGGATGAGATGCGGCTGCCAAACAGGAAGGGAGCCTCAGCCGGCCTCAGGCTAGGAACATGCACCCCCAAGACGTGCCACCCTATCTGCTCCGGGACCCTGAAGGAGCTGCGTGAGTGAGGGCTCTGGCTAAACTACCCCCGCCCCCAAGATGGTCTGGAAACTAAGGGGCAGGGAGCAGACTACCGGGAGAAACCCAGGCCCAGAGCTTGCTTCCTGCTGCCAGTGCTAGAGCGACGCCCCCCGATCCTTATCGACCTGGACGTCCCCGGCCCCACCAAGTACGAGGTGCCCAACGCGTCGGTGCGAGAATCTTCCCCTCACCCCCACTACAGCATTGGCTGCAAGCACCCGGGCCGAGGTGCGTGTCCCCTTCCTTCCTGGCTCCCCGCAGCCAGCTCCTGGGATTCCCAGCCTGGGAATGGGTGCGTCCCTCCCTGAAGCGCCCACCGACGATTACTCCACCACAGAGGGCGGCGGCCGCAGGGCGTGGCAGACCATGTGGCTTCAGAACGAAAGCCCGTTCCCGCAGAAGGCCGACTTTAACCGAGAGCAAAAGGTGCGGAGCGCGCTCGCAGGTGCAGCGGGGGACTAGCAGTGGAGTGGGCGGGGACGGCCAGCCAGCGGGGTGGGGATGAGTCACCCGGCGCCTAGGTGGTGGGGAGGGGCCGGCGAGCCTGGTGGGCGGGGCCAGGTGGTGCGCAGGGCCCCGCGGGCGGGGCGCGAGGGCCGCGTGGCCTGACCAGGTTGGGGAAGCAGCAGGGCAGCTTGCAGGCTAGGGCCCTGCAGCTCTGGCCTCCTGCCTCCTTCCAGTGGCCATCTCCCGCCGATGATGGGCCGCTCAGCCGAACTTCCTTCCCGGCCTTCAGCTTCGGAGGCCGTCGCCGAAGCATTTCCAAGACTCTTTCGGGCCTTGCCCGCCCAGGCCTGCTCCGGGGCAGGGGCCCTCGTGCCCATCTCCCGCCCCAGGCTTCTGTGCAGGCTCCGGCTGAGAAGCGCCCCAGCCCCAACACCTACGACATCCTTCCCGGGTACCGTCTGCAGAACCCGCGCTCACCTGCCTTTGCCTCCTGGTTCAGTTCCTGTAAGGAGACTTGGGTTCATTGAGGCGGGGTGCTGTGGAGGGCTGAGGACGAGGGCCCAGGGGCTGGCTGCTGCTCTTGGTGGTCTCCCAGCCCTCTCTCTTTACAGCCCAAACCCCGGGCCCGGCTGCCTACTATGTGGAGGACTGCTACAATTCACGCTTCCCCTCTGCGCCTGGAGTGGTCATACAGGGTGTGCGAAGACCCAAGCGCCACGACACAGGCCCCTTCTGCACGCTCTAAGCCTGCTGGGCCCTGCTGGCTTGGCTTGTTATTTAGTGGAATGCTGGTCTCCCTTGGAGCCTCCTCCTGGAACTTGGGGCCTGGGGCTTGGTCTTCTGACCCTCCAGGCACCACTGATTCCCTTTCTGACCAGCAGACCCTCTGTGGGCTGTGACAAGGAGAGCCCAGCCCAGACCCCCACCTGCCCATCCCCTGCTGTACTGAGATGCAGTTGTTCTCCCACACTCCATTGTGTGTGTCTGTCTGTCTGGCATTGCCCAGTGGGTTGTCCTGAAGAAGCCTGTTGCTTCCCTGCCCTTTGTGGGCTTTCCCTGTCCAGGGGTTTCCTTTGGCCATTCTTTCAGAGAGCTCCCTTTTCTAGGGTACTCTAGGGTAGCATCCTGGGATTAACCCTTAACTTCTGGCAGAATTCCCCACCCGGTCATGACACCCAGGGGATTGGTCCAGCTGCCAGTCTACCTAAGAGTCGGGCTACTTGCTGAGGTGAGGAGCTAACTGTTGGGGTTCCCTGAACTGCCATCTTGAGGTGGGGTTAGCGCGGCAAGCCAGCAGGGAGGGCCCAGAGGACCAGCTTGACCTGAAGACCCAACTGGGCTTGCTTACCTGTCCTTGATCTAAGGACATTCAGGCCAAGGCCATAGCCAATGGACTCCTGGGACTTTACTCCTTAGGTCCCTGCCCTTGCAGGAAGCAGCAGCCTGCTGTTATCCCCTCATCACCACTGGCCTGCCCTCCTCCCAGAAGGGAGACTCTTGTTCTAGTATCCTCTCTGCAGTTGCCCTTCCCCCAACCAGGCCCAGAACTCAGCCCTGCAAACCATTTGCCCTAGCTGCTCCTGGCTGGTTCCTTGAGGGCAGCACCACCCTCTTTTGCAGAGAGGAAACCCTAGCCCTGGGAGTCTGAGTTCCCAGCACCTCCATGCCTATGCCAGCTGGAAGTCAATCCCCAGTGCTCCGGGCCCTGGGCTGACCAACTTGGCCAGCAACAGTGATAGAGCTGTGGGAGCCCTGACCTTGGAAGCTCTGCCCCAGAGGGGAACAGGACTCCTGCTTAGGGCTGAACCACCAGGCACCCCCAGGATCCAAAGCCTGATGTGGTAACAGCTGGAAGAATGTAGTATTCCCCTCCAGTTGGGATGAGGGAGGAGAACTTCCTGGAGGAAGCATGGAGGAAAGGGCTTTCAAGTATGAAAAAATATTTGCTGAGCAGTAGGAAGATTTTTTTTTGGGGGGGGGTACTAGGGATTGAACCTAGGGGTGCTCAACCACTGAACCACATCCCCAGCTCCACCACCCCCCTCCCGCTTTTTTTTTTTTTTTTTTTTAATTTGAGACAGCTTCTTGCTAAGTTGCTGATGCTGGCTTTGAACTTGCAATTTTCCTGCCTCAGCCTCCTGAGCTGCTGGGATTACTGCACCAATGCCAGGTTAGTCAGAAGGCCAAATTTCTAGTAGAACAACCATTAGCAGCACAGGCACATGTAAAGGGAGTAGTGTTTGGTGTGTCAGAACTCGGGGAGGACATGGTGGTGGGGTGGAGGGCTGAGAGCTGGGGGACAATGCTGGGTACATGTACCTACAAACTTAGCAGCAGGGAGACTACCAGCCAGGATGAGCTTCGTGTTCTGCAACGGACAAGGGACACTGTGAACCTGGGTTCTGATTCAAAGTTCAAAGAGGGTTAACCACATTAGCCCAGTAATTAGAATCTAACATGGTGGACGTGGCTTGTGTTCTCACTGTGCTCCCAGATCTCTGCTAGGGACCCTGGGCACGACTGGAGGCACGTTTAGATTTTCGTATGCAGCAAGTTTGTAGTGTGGGCTTCGTTCCCGTTTTGCCTGGAGGAAGTCAAATTTCAGGGAGCTTGAAAGTCATACACTATGTCCTACACTTGTGCTGCACCTGGCGCGACCCAGGCAGGGAGCTTCTAGGACAGAGAGAGATGCGTCACTTCCTCAAGCAAAAATATTCGTAAAGTCAAGAGGCTCCTGTGAGATCAGCAAGAGTTGTTCGTGACTATAAAAATAAGATTTGCCTCGAAAAATGTCGGTTCTGAAATCCACAAGCCGACAGCAGTTGCGCGCAAGGCACGTGGTCTGGGGTTAGAGGACCACCAGGCCCGTGGCGGACTGCGGCAGCGGGGCGGAACGTGCGTGCGTGGGCGGGGCCACGTCCCTAGCCCGGGCCCGGGCACCGCCCCTCGCGTGCCGTCCCTCAGTCTCTTGTGGAGGTGGCGCGTAGATGCCCGGAACCCGAGTGCGGGCGCGGCGGCGTTTTCCCGGAGCAGTTTAGCTGTCGGACCCCGGCCGTGCGGGGCGGAAGTGGGCGGTGCGGGCCGTGCGGAGCCGCGCTGCGGGCGCGACCTGGCCGAACTGGAGGCGGCGGGGGAGCGCGGCTCCGGCGGCCCCCGAGGCCCGGGGGAGCGCGCTTCGGGGGCGTCCGCGGCGGCGCCGGGGGAGCGGTGCGGGGATGGGGCCCCGAGCCGGGCGACGGCGGGGGCCTCGGCCATGTTCGCGGGGCTGCAGGACCTGGGCGTGGCCAACGGCGAGGACCTAAAGGAGACCCTGACCAACTGCACCGAGCCGCTCAAGGCCATCGAGCAGTTCCAGGTGTGCGGGTCGGGCGGGTGCTGCTCTCCGCGGCCGCCCGGGGTGGAGGGGCGGGGACGGTCGGCAGAATTCACCGCGCTGCGCTCTGCTTCCGCAGACCGAGAATGGCGTGCTGCTGCCCTCCCTGCAGTCGGCCCTTCCTTTCTTGGACCTGCACGGGACGCCGCGGCTGGAGTTCCACCAGTCGGTGTTTGATGAGCTGCGGGACAAGCTGCTGGAGCGAGTGTCAGCCATCGCTTCGGAGGGGAAGGCCGAGGAAAGGTCGGTCCGCGCTTGCAGCCTCGGAATCCACTGGGCAACTTTTATGGTCCCTTTAGGACTATGTGTGAGGAGCACCCCCACCCCATCGCGCCTCCTGCATGTGGAGACCCACTCCCTCAGTTGTGCAAGTCTTTGCAGGTACAAGAAGCTGGAAGATCTTCTAGAGAAGAGCTTTTCTCTGGTCAAGATGCCATCTCTGCAGCCAGTGGTGATGTGTGTCATGAAGCATCTGCCCAAGGTGAGAGCTCTGGTGCTACCCCTTCCGGGGAGACCTGTGTGCCATGAGGTACAGCTTGACCAGCTTACCTGCATGCCCTTGGTTGATGGAAGTCAGACTCAGCTTGGTGCAGGTAGCTACTTAGCTCTGGGGAGTTTTGATGAGCAGCTTGCCTGAGTCAGCTTCTCTCAAGTGGGCCACATGCAGACCAAAACTTGGATCTCAAGTCGTTATGAGAGAGAGCTGTGGATGTTCAGTATGTTTGCCTGCACCTATAGGGACCCTGGGATGGGGCTGGGCCAATGTGGTTTTCATGAGGGGGACCTGGAGGACACAGGTGCCACTCGCAGGAGGGTACAGGGCTTGTGTTTGTCCTTTAGGTTCCTGAGAAGAAGCTGAAGCTGGTGATGGCTGACAAGGAACTGTACCGAGCCTGTGCTGTGGAGGTGAAGCGGCAGATCTGGCAGGACAACCAGGCACTCTTTGGGGATGAAGTCTCCCCACTGCTGAAACAGTATATCCTGGAGAAGGAGAGTGCACTCTTCAGCACAGAGCTGTCTGTCCTGCACAACTTCTTTAGTCCTTCCCCCAAGACCAGACGCCAGGGCGAGGTGAGGGGAGGCAGGGCATGCACAGAGCTTTGAGTGTGTGGGTTTGTTCCTGGAATGTGTGGCCTGAAAGGTTGATTGGTTGTGTGTTTGTGTACATTTTACTTTTTAGTGAGATTATATGGGAACAAAGTTAATGCCTACAGACAGGCCTTTAATGAAAAGTGACAGCCCCACCCCACTTCCAGAAAGCTTCTGCTTGGCCCTTAAGTTTTTTTTTTTTTTTTTTGGTAAAGGTGATTGAACCCAGGGGCACTTAACCACTAAGCTATACTTTCAGCCCCTTTAAAATAAATTAATTATTTTTGTTTTGGGATAGGGTCTAACAGCTAAACTTTTTTTTTTTAATATTTATTTTTTTAGTTGTAGTTGGACACATACCTTTATTTTATTTACTTATTTATACGTGGTGCTGAGGATCAAACCCAGGGCCTCACACTTGCTAGGCAAGTGCTCTACCACTGAGCCACAATCCTTACCAGCTAAATTTTTAAATCTTTAGTTTGTTAATGTGGTTGAATTCTTCTACTACTACTACTACTTTTTTTTTTTTTTTTTTAATATTTTTTAGTTGTCAGGCTGGGGATGTGGCTCAAGCGGTAGCGCACTCGCCTGGCATGCGTGCGGCCCAGGTTCGATCCTCCTCAGCACCACATACAAACAAAGATGTTGTGTCCACCGAAAACTTAAAAAAAATAAATAAATACAATATTAAAAAAAAAAAATTTTTTTAGTTGTCAATGGATTTTTATTTTATTTATTTATATGTGGTGCTGAGAACCGAACCCAGTGCCTCACACGTGCAAGTCAAGTGCTCTACCATTGAGCCACTACCCTAGCTCCCATGGCTGAATTTTTTTTTTTTTTTTTTTTTGATATTTTTTTGTTGTAGATGGACACAGTGTCTTTATTTATTTTTAATTGGTGCTGAGGATCGAACCTAGTGCCTCACATGTGCAAGGTGGGTGCTCTACCACTGAACTACAGTCGTAGCCCTGAATTCTTAAATAGTGAACTTAAGTTTCCATCTATTAGTAATGCTGGTGTTATAGCTGAACTCAGATTTACAATAACTGGGCTGGGGATGTAGTTCAGTGGTAGAACATTTGTCTAGCATGCATGAGGCCCTGGGATCAATCCCCAGGACTATAATTTTTTTTTTTTTTTTTTTAACAATAACTTATATCTGTTTTTTTATACTGGGATTTTTTTAGTTAAATTTATTTTTTTCTTCTTTTTTTTTTTTCTGGTACCAGGGATTGAACCCAGGATCACTTAACTACTGAGCCACATCTCAGCTCTTTTTTAAAATTTTGAGACAGGGTCTCTAAATTGTTTAGGGACTCGGTAAGTTGCTGAGGCTGTCCTTGAACCTGTGATTCTTCTTCCTCAGCCTCCCAAGTTCCTGAATCACAGGCATAAACAACCATGCCCAGCTTGATTTCTTTCTTTTTTTTTTGGCGGGGGCAGTACCACGGATTGAACTTGGGCACTCACCCACTGAGCTACATCCCCAGTCCTATTTTGTATTTTATTTAGAGACAGGGCCTCACTCAGTTGCTTAGTGCCTCGTTTTTGCTAAGTCTGGCTTTGAACTCGTGATCCTCCTGTCTCAGCCTCCCGAGCTGCTGGGATTACAGGCATTTAGAAGAGACGTAAAACATTATTTAAGTCATCCCAGGTTAATGAAGAAAATATAGACAAGATCTACTCATTTTATTTTTGTGGTGTGGGGATTGAAACTGGGGTGCTCTACCACTGAGCTACACCCCCAGCTCTTTTTATTATTTGTTTTGAGATAGTCTTATTACGTTGACCAGGCTGACCTGAAGCTTGGTCCTCCCTCCTGCCAGCCTCCCACGTTGCTGGGATTGCAGGCCTTCATCCTTGGGCCTCATCAGTTTACTATCAACTTAATCTTCTTTTTAAACTAATGTGTTAAAAAAAGTTACTTTCAGTGTGTAACTGAATGTCAATGATTGTCATTGAGCTGTGTTGTCATTGAGCTATGTTTATTTTGGGGTCACTGAGTCTAAAATCTGGTGGGTCTTCCATGCCCTCAGCACATCCTCAGTTGCCACAGTTCAAGTGCCAAAGCCATGAGTGTGGCCTGTAGGTCCAGTGGGACTTCAAGGCTCTTGGCCACATGGACCGGCAGCTGTGGGGTTGGAGGAGTGTGTAGCTTACGCTGTCCCTGACCTCTGTCCCTTGCCTTGTGCTTGTTTATTCTCGGTTAGGTCCTTTGTAAACCTCTCATTCCATTGCTGTCGGAGCAGTGCTCCCCCTCCCCCAGCTTGCCCCACACTCCCCTGCCCTCCTTCTGGTGACTGGGTGCTGATTTCTTTACTTGCTTTGTCCTAAGTGTCTTCTTTCAAAAAGCTACATTTTTATACACGTGAGAGTTGCAGTGCGAAAGTGTCCGAAGAGCAGAAAGGAACAGGAGAAGCAGCTCCCACCCCCTCCCTCCCTCCCTCCTATAAGGGGGCACTACCCCGTCCCCTGCTGCATCCACCCCCACGAGTTCCTGCCTCGGGGCCCAGTTTCTGTGTGGGTTGTCTCTGGGTCACCTCGGTGTCAGTGCTCCTGGAGAGAAGTGGCCTTGGCATCAGATCCTGGGCCGTGCCCAGCCTCCCTCAGACTGGGCGGGCGGGCGGGCCAGCCACATTTCCATCTGCTGCTGCTTTTGTCCCTGACGTTTTCCCTCCTGGTCTCCTGGCTTCTCCTAGGTGGCCGCCTGCCGTTGGCTCCGCTTCTCCCCAGCATCGCGCGTTGACTGCGCGGCTCCTGACTTGCTTACTTTCTCCTCCTGATTTGAAGGCATCCTTTCAGAGTCCTGACATACTGGACGTTTATTTTGTTTTGACTTCACAGCTGAGGGCTGGCTGGACTCGTAGTCACAGGCCTACTCTGTCACAGGCCCCTCTGCCCTTCTCCAGCATCTGTGTCTGTGCACAAGTTGGCAGGGGCTCTGTCTTGTGGCACTTGGTGGTGGCCTGTTGTTCCTCGCAGTCTGTTCTTGGGGCTCTGTGATTTTATAGTGCTGTGACAGGGAGCCTCAGGCCAAGGGGTTGCCTGTGGTCCTTCCTCGTTCCAGTGAGCCACGTCCAGGGAGCAGCTGAGCAGAGCTCTGTGGTGGCTGAGGCGGCACAGTGGGGTCCCCAGTGCTGTCCTGAGGAGGAATGAAGTGGCTTATCTGTGCAAGGGGCCTAGGTGCCCATGTCCCTGCTTGGCCGTCCAGCGGCGGGAAGGGGGAATTGGATTTTGTTTGTTTTGTACACCTGGGGCCTCTGCCTGTGCTTTGTGGCCCTGGATGCTGGTGGTGGGACGACGTCACACAGCCTCCAGCTGCAGTTGAAGACAGGGAGACAGGAGCCATGTGGGCTGGGTGGACAGCCTGGAGGAGCAGGCAGCCAGCCTTGCAGGCCTTGAGTGTAGGCCCTAAGGCAGCAGGGCCATCTGCGTCTTCCCACAGTGGAGTTCTTCTGGGATGTCACTCAGTGCTGCCTCTTGCCTGGCCCCTCTTGACCGGGTAGGCAAGTACTTGAGGTCATAGGCTTGTGACCTCTCAGGGAACCATGGGGACTGGTGTGGGCTCACCATCCTAAGTAACAGCCTGCCACCTCTGACAGAGTGGCGGCATTTCACCTGAGAAGAGGCAGTGTCTGACACCAGCTGCCCAGAAAGGACACTCTGGAGGGAGTGTTGCTGTCCCAGGACTCGGCCACCTGTGTGGTGGCTGGGTGTAGGGTGGGTGGGCGGTGTTCTGGGCACAGTGGCCTGTCTCTCCTGCCAGGTGGTGCAGAAGCTGACGCAGATGGTGGGGAAGAACGTGAAGCTGTACGACATGGTGCTCCAGTTCCTGCGCACGCTCTTCCTGCGAACCAGGAACGTGCACTACTGCACACTGCGGGCCGAGCTGCTCATGTCCCTGCATGATCTGGATGTGGGTGATATCTGCACAGTGGACCCCTGTCACAAGGTGCGGCCTCCGTGGTCACTTCTTCAGGGGTCCTCCCCTGCTGCTTCCCTGGCATGCAGTGTTGTAGGAACCAGTCAGGCATCAACCTGTGCCAAGCTCATGTCTTGAGCCGTCTGTCCATTCAGCTGCCAGCTGTGTGCTGGCATCTCTGCACACCCCACCAGGGAGGGTGGCATCCTCCATGTGCCTGAGCCAGAGACCTGGGTGTCTTGGTGCCTCACTGCCCTTTAGCCTATCTCTGCTGCAGCTGGGTGCACGCCCCCCGGCTACCTTGTACCAGTGCCCCGTTCCTCTGTCTCATCAGCTGGCCTCTGGCCCTTCCCAGCCCCCAGCCCACGGGGCTTCTCCCTGGCAAGTACCAGGGTGTTCCAGGAAGGGGGTTTCATCTGCCCTGTGTCTCCGAGCCCAGGCATGGCAGCACTGGGACCATTTCCCAGGGACCTTTGGTGTCCTTCTCTGAGCCTCTCACTGCTCTGAGTGCTACAGTGCCTGACGCACACCAGGGAGGTTCACGGAGAAGACAGGTCACTTCCTTGCACTGTCCTGGGGCTTGCTGCTTTTGTCCCCAGGAAGAACACTCCCTGCTTCCTGCAAGTCCCTTGTCCACCAGGAGGGCTCTGTGGTGCTTTCTGTCTCTGGGCATCTTCCCACCCTCTCCTGTGGCCCCTAGGTCTTGGGGTGAGGCTTGGGTCTGTGGCCTGTGTCTGCCTCTGCCTCTGGTCTCAGCTCCTCAGGCAATGCTATGTCTGAGGGAGGCAAAGGGCTGCAGCTGTCTCAGGCCTTGCCTCTGGCTGTGGGAGGGTCCAGTCCTGCCCTGCTGATGCCCCTTCTGCCTGCAGTTCACCTGGTGTCTGGATGCCTGTATCCGAGAGCGGTTTGTAGACAGCAAGAGAGCCCGGGAGCTGCAGGGGTTTCTTGATGGAGTGAAGAAAGGGCAGGAGCAAGTCCTGGGGTAAGGCATCCTGTGTTCCCACTCTTGCTAGCTGGAGCCATGCCAGGCCCCTGAGCCCATGGCTTAGGACGGGATCGTGTGGGAGGAGTTTAGGCAGCAGACACCTTCGTCTCTGCACAGATGCAGGGCTCATGTTCTTGAGGGTGCCAGGGTGGGGGTCCAGTGGCCTGGAGTCTGCAGCAGTTTGGGGCCTGCTCCAGGCTGAGGGCTCCCCGTGTCCTCTGGCTGGTTGCTGTGTAGTCTGTCACCCTTCTGTTAGAACTCTGGCTTCTTGACTGAGCTCAGTCTGGGCCAGGCTTTCAGAAGCAAAACATGCCCTTGTGGTTTTTTTTGTTTTTTGGTTTTTTTTTAATCTTTTTTATTTTTTTTACTTTTCACCTCTAGTTTGAAAGAGCTTTCAATGGATTAAGAATAAATTACAGGGGCTGGGGTTGTGGCCCAGTGGTAGAGCGCTTGCGTAGCATATGCAAGGCCCTGGGTTTGATCCTCAGCACCACGTTTATAAAAAAATTAAATAAATAAAACAAAGGTATTGTGTCCATGTACAGTTAAAAACAAATTAAAAAAGAAAAAAACAGAATAAATTACGAACCTTGTGTATTTTGTTGAGAGGACCAGAGTACGATCTGCTTGCTCCATGCAGAAAGAGAGCAGCTCCCAGGGTGGTGCCTAAGCCTCCCTGCCCAACCCCTCCTGCCCTCAGCGGTCTGCACACTGTCAGCAGGCAGGGGCAGGACAGCCAGGCTTCCCCAGTTCATGCTGAGGACTGCTCCCTCAGGGACCTGTCCATGATCCTCTGCGACCCCTTTGCCATCAACACGCTGTCTCTGAGCACCATCAGGCACCTGCAGGAGCTTGTCAGCCAGGAGACGCTGCCCAGGGTGAGTGCGTGCATGCCCTGGTGTTGACACACGGCTCCACCTGTGGAGCTGGCTTTGATCCTGTGAGTGGGGCAGTTGGGATCCTGGATGGGGTCCCAGGGTCCTGGCATGACAGGAGAGATCCCACTGAGTATTGAGTGCGGTCGGAGGACAGCATAACCTTGGTGACTTCTGTTAAGGACTGTTTCCCTGCAGGACAGCCCTGACCTCCTGCTGCTGCTTAGGCTGCTGGCCCTGGGCCAGGGGGCCTGGGACCTGATTGACAGCCAGGTCTTCAAGGAGCCCAAGATGGTATGGGATTTGGCTTCCTTGCTTTGCTGCTACTTACGAGTCGTGGTGAGGTGGCCCCTCCAGTCCCAGCTCTGTGTTCCTGGGGGCTTCCTTTAAGAAACACCAGGGATTTTGGGGGTGTCTTGATAGGGCTGGCTACCTGTAGGGAGGTGGGCTGCTCCATATACACTTGGCCCATGGCATTTCCATAAGGGTCTGTAATCATGCCAGTTTGGGGGTCCACAGACAGCGCTGGGTGGGAGTCTCAGAAAGCCAGAAGTACGAGCAGTGTCAAGGGTGGGCAGACCTTCCGGGTGGGTTGCACACACCTGTCCTCCCAGCAACTTGGGAGGCTGAGGCAGGAGGATCGTGAGTTTGAGGCTAGCCTCAGCAACTTAAGCAAGGCTCTAGGCACCTTAGTGAGGTCCTGTCTAAAAAACTAAAAAGAACTGGGCCTGGCATGGTGGCGCATGCCTGTAATCCCCATGGCTTGGGAGGCTGAGACAGTAGTATCGGAGTTCAAAGCCAGCCTCAGTAAAAGTGAGGCGCTAAGCAATTTGGTGAGACCCTGTCTCTAAATAAAATACAAAAATAGGGCTGGGGATGTGGCTCAGTGGTCGAGTGCCCCTGGGTTCCATCCCCAGTGCCCCCGCCACCCAAAAAAAGCAAAACAGAACTGGGTGTGAGCTCAGTGGTAGAGCTCCCTGGTTCAACCCTCAGTGCCCAAAGCAACACCTGGAAAGGGACAGGCAGACCCGAGGAAAGGGTGCAGTGTGGGCCCTCGTGGGGGGTCTGCACTGGGGAGAGTCAGGCTGGGGACCCAGGGGCTGCTGACTCTCAGCCTTTGTCCCTGCAGGAGGCGGAGCTCATCACCAGGTTCTTGCCCATGCTCATGTCCTTTGTGGTGGACGACCACACTTTCAACGTGGACCAGAAGCTTCCGGCTGAGGAGAAGGCCCCGGTCGTGTACCCCAGCACGCTTCCCGAGAGCTTCACCAAGTAGGTGCCGAGGCACCAGCAGGGCGTGTCAGGGCGGGCTGTGCTTGGCCAGCGCTGCAGGGGCCTGACGGGTCCTGGGCGCCATCTGCCCAGGTTTCTGCAGGAGCAGCGCATGGCCTGTGAGGTGGGGCTGTACTACGTCCTGCACATCACCAAGCAGCGGAACAAGAACGCGCTCCTGCGCCTGCTGCCGGGGCTGGGTGAGTCCGGACATGCATCCTGCTGGGCAGGGGCCTCCTGGGGCCCAGAAGGCTGCTGGCCACTGTGTCCCTGCCCTCACACCCACCTTCCTTAGCTGTTGTCACTTTCAGTCTTGTCTGAAGTTTATCTTAGTAGGAAAGTGAGAGGCTGCTTACTTAGCCTTGTGTTTTGGGTCTTGTGATCTTTCCCACAGAAAGGGGTGTAGGAGCCACCTTTATCTTTTAATTTTTAAATATTTATTTTTTATTTTTTTAAAGAGAGAGAGAGAGAATTTTTAATATTTATTTTTTAGTTATTGGCGGACACAGCATGTTTGTTTGTATGTGGTGCTGAGGATCGAACCCAGGCCGCACGCATGCTAGGCGAGCGTGCTACCGCTTGAGCCACATCCCCAGCCCTAAATATTTATTTTTTTTAGTTGTAGGTGGACCCAATACTTTTATTTATCTATTTTTGGTGCCGGGGATTGAACTCAGGGGCACTCAACCCCTGAGCCACATCCCCAGCCCTATTTTGTATTTTATTTAGAGCCAGGGTCTCATTGAGTTGCTTAGTTGAGGCTGGCTTTGAATTCAAGATCCTCCTGTCTCAGCCTCCCAAGCCACTGGGATCACAGGTGTGCACCACCGTGCCTGTTATTTTATCCTAACTTCTGAAGGGCATGTGGTTCCTTGTGTCCCCAGAGGGCAGAGGGAGTGTGCCCTCCAAGGCCGTTTTAGGCCCACTTCCCCCAGGACCACTTGGAGGAGGTGACCCAGCCAGGAAGAGGGAGGGCTCTGGCTGGGCCTGTAGGAATAAGGCCACTGTCCTGTTGGAGAGGTGCATGCTGTGCCCACTTGGTGACAGTCCTGGGTCTTGCTGCCCTGGGCTCACAGGCGTGTGTCTCAGTTGCTGGCTGCCTGCTTTCAGCTTCTGTGTGCAGGAAGCTCTGTGGGCGTGGCTGTGCAGACACCATCTGACTAAGTCATCTCAGACTGGGCCTTGGTGACTTCTGGCTGCAGGTTTATTGTTTTAAAACAATACAGACTGACCACCTTGCCACTCTGGGGTCAGAAGTCTTCAGTGAGCCTCATAGGGCCAGGCCAATGTTCTGTACGGAGGGCCCCTCTGCAGGCTCCCAGGAACCTGTCCTGTGCCTCTCCAGCAGAACACAGCTACCCCCAGGCATCTGACCTGAGAAATGGTGGGGGCAGTGGGGGCTGAAGGGCTGGCTGCTTGTTGGCATTGTGAGGTCTCCAGGGACATGGTTACAAGTCGCCTTGACCTGCCTCGTCCCAGGTGTGTTCAGCACCCTGTCTTCCTCGCACCTGGTTCTGGCTACTTGGAGTGGGTTGAGACGGGCAGTGGGCTGTCTTTCTTGGAGCACGTTGCTGCCCCTGGGGTGTGCCGCTCTGATCATGTTCAGGAGGAGCTCTCTTGTTCTTAGTATGAATCAGAATGGACGTGGGTTGTCTAGAATTTTCTGATTGTGGGAATTTCTGAGCTCTGAGAAGTCCCTGACACATGGTCTGTGACTCTGAACAGTCTGTAGGCTCCTCTACAAAAGAAGGATGGTCACTTCTTAGCAGGTTTGCTGTCACTTCTCGGGTCAGATGCCTGGGGTTGGCTGTGTTCCTGTGGCATCTGGCAGGCATTGTCGATGCGGCTGAGTGCTGCCGTGAGCCTTGCCTGCCTGCCCCCAGGTCTCCCATAGGCTTTAGGGCTTGGAGAGATCTAGGCATTGACAGTGGCACCCCTGAGGTGCCTGTGTCTCTCTGAAATGTCTCTCCACTGGTCCAGGCAGTGTCGGCCAGGTTTGCCCTGGCAGGTCTCAGGGATGGTGGCATCTAGTTCCCATCCCATCTGCACCAGTTCTCCACGCCGTGACCAGGCTGCAGGTGCTACCCTGCCTATGTGGGACTGCTGCTGCACGGCGCCCCTAAGGTCTGCTCGGGCAGGGCCTGGCAGTACCTTGTTGTGTTGGTGCAGCAAGGCTTAGCTACAGTTGGCTTCATGGTCTTTTCTGCTTTGGGGTTAGTAGCTTCAAAAAGGGGGTTTGGAAGCATTTGTTTTTCTCCTGAGGAATAGCTGGGTGGTTTGGAAGAGCTCCCTCCAGGCTGTGCTTTGGCTCGTCCTGCCTTTTCCTTGTTGGGCTGTGGTTTTTCTCTCTCTTGGGGCTGGTTCGGACCAGAGCCCTCAACCGTTGGGTAGAGCCTTCAGGAGGGGCCACCCTGTTTTCATCTCCACCCCCAGTCCACCACCCACTCACCTGGGACCCTATTCTGACCTCTGGGTACTTGGGAATCCCTGGGGAGGCCCCAGGGGCAGGTTTCTGAGGGCAGAGATTATCTGCCCTGGCAAAGGGGTGGGTGGTGGCTGGGCCAGGCCAACCTGCTGTGATTGCAGTGGAAACCTTCGGCGACCTGGCCTTCAGCGATATCTTCCTCCACCTGCTTACTGGGAGCCTGGCGCTGCTGGCTGACGAGTTTGCCCTGGAGGATTTCTGCAGCAGCCTCTTCGATGGCTTCTTCCTCACAGCCTCACCTAGGTAGGCCACACAGCCATGGGCAAGCCAGGCCAGCCAGACTTTCCTGTGCACAGAAGCCTGGCAGGTGAGGGGCTGCAGGTGGGTCTGTCGGGCACCATGGCTGCACTTGCCAAAGGGTTGCCCAGGTATAGTTGGGGAATCCTGTCTCCAGGGCAGCAGGAGGAGCTGGAAGGGGCTTTTCCCCTGCATTTGGGCTGAGCCTTGGAGGAAGGCAGTGTGTCCTCCTCTCAGCCCCTCGTCTCCACCCGGCCCTGGCCTTTTCCAGGAAGGAGAATGTGCATCGGCATGTACTGCGGCTTCTCCTCCACCTGCACCCCAGGGTAGCCCCCTCCAAGCTGGAGGCTCTGCAGAAGGCCCTGGAGCCCACGGGCCAGGTGGGTGCTTGACCTCCACATCTGGGAATGCTGACCCTGGCCTGCCGTGCTTTGCTTGGTCTCTGGGGCCTTCCTCTGGACTGCCCCGGGGCTGGCGGGTTCTTGCTGGTCCCACAACCTGGGTCTATCTGCAGAGTGGAGAGGCTGTGAAGGAGCTCTACTCGCAGTTGGGTGAGAAGCTGGAGCAGCTGGACCATCGGAAGCCCAGCCCAGCCCAGTCTGCAGAGCCACCCGCCCTGGAGCTGCCTCTCCCCAGCGTGCCTGCTCCAGCTGGACTCTGAGGCTCTGCACCCAAAGGGCTGCTCAGGAGTGGGCCCCTCCTGGGACAGTCATCGGGAGAGGCTCTCCTGGCCTTGGGAGGGAGCTGCAGGGCCTGTGCAGTAGGGCACCCTTCCTCCCTCTTTGTTGCCTAGAGCTGGTCCTGCGAGGCACCTGCTCTTGCCCTGGGGCCTGACAGTTTCCTGGAGCTTCATAGTGCCAGCCTTTTGGTGTTGGCAATTCTCAGCCCGAGCACCTGGCCTGACATGAGTGTGGTGAGCCTGAGGGGAGGGAGTGCACATGGTTTTGGCCAAAGCAGGTGTGCTAGGTCCAGATGTCTGTAGGGTCACTCAGGATGGCAGCGGGCCAGCGGCCTGAGCCGCTGGTGCACCGGTACCAGGGTGCCCATCCGACTGACGGAGGCCCTGCAGGCAGTGCCCCTCCCTCCCACGTGTACTGCCTCAGTTTACCCTTGGAGAAGATTGCTTCTTGCCCAGCTGCACTGACTGACCCTCATGTGGGGAAATTGGGTGCACATTGAGGTTTCCACTTATGTAAATAAAAGACATTTTGGTAAATCTGCAGATGAGCCTTTTCTCTGCTGGCCCTGGGGGTTGGGTGCAGTTCAGAGAAGGAGAATTCTTGGGGGTTCCTGTGAGTCCATGGTCCCCTTCTTGGGCCACTGTCCTTGAACGCCAGGCATAGACTGCTAGAAGCCCCTCAAGGCCTCACAGGCTGCATGGTGCTAAGACAGACCAGCTCCTTGGTGTCTGTCTTGTGGGTCCAGATGAGCCACTTACTCCCTGCACAGATGGGGGACACGAGGCCAGGGCAAGCCCAAGGGCACTGGCGCACCTCTGGGGTGGTTTTCTTCAGATGAGCCTATATAGCTGGGCAGTGGCTTAGGGTATACAGGCTGGCCACTGGGCATTGCTGGTCTTGAAGACATGACGGAGCGGGCTACTGATCTAGGTATAGGAGAGCCTTCCTGGCTCTGTTTGGGGTTAGGCGTGTGTGGGGAGGTTTCTGCCAGCTTTTCCCACTTGGGAATGAATCAAGCCTTGCTGCCCATTGCCAGTCGGGCAGAGGAGCAGGCAGGGAGAGTGTGTGTGGGCCTTCATTAGTCACTTCCCTTGTTTCCTTGTGGCACTGAGGACTGAATCCAGGGGTGCTCTGCCTTGAGCTACACCCTCAACCCTTTCTATTTGCTTTTTAAAATATTTTTTAGTTGTAGATGGACACAGTACCTTTATGTGGTGCTGAGGATGAAACCCAGGGCCTCACACATGCCAGGTGAACGCTCTACCACTGAGCCACAGCCACAGCCCTTTTTTTTTTTTTTTTTTAATTTTGAGACAGGGTCTTGCCAAGTTGCCCAGCCTGGCCTCACACTAGCCATCCTCCTGCTTCAGCCTCCTGAGGACTGGGATGACAGGTGTGGGACACTGTGCCCAGCTCTCCTTTTCAGTCACCAGGAACTCATCATGGGGCTCCAGCACGACCACCTTAACTAATCCTAATTACTTCCCAAAGGTCCACTTCTAAGCACAGTTGTAGGGTTTCCAAGTCAGTATCTCCTGACAGAGATCAGATTTCAACATGGGAGCCGGTGGGGGACACTCCATCCACTTCCAAATCATGGGGTGGGGTGGAGTGGGGTGGGTACAGGTGCCAGGGCACTGTGGAGGCAGGGTGGGGAGAGGGGGTGGGAAGGCTAGGAAGGAAAGGATAGGGCCGTGGGTAGAGGGGCCAATAGAGTGGACACCTGGCCAGGTCACTGGCAGTGAGAAGGGCCTTCTTGAGTTTATGGTGAAGTCAGCCTTGGTCAGTGCACTGGGTTCCGCCAGTGCCCCTGGAGTGTGGCTGTGCAGACAGTGTCCTGCTGGGGGTGCCTCGGGGTGACGGGGGCAGGGTGGGAAAAGGCAGTACACAAGGGAGTGTGGGGGGTCACACGGTCACTGGAGAAGGCCAAGGGCCCCAGGGTCTGGCAGAACCCTGGGGAACAAAGTTACTAGGAGGGAGGACAGGGTAGCATTGCCAGCGGGACTGTGACCAAAGAGAATGTTACTAGTGAGTCAGGGAGCTTGACCCTGGGGACACCCGTGGGAATGCGGTAGACAGGAGGATTTAGGGGGCTGCCCACATTCAAGCAGTGGGTCTCCTGGTGAAGTGCCCTTTCAGAGGGAAGCCTGAAGACCCAGATGGCATTTGCAGATGGCAGCATGACGTCCCCAGGCAATGGGACTACAGAAGGGTTGGTAGGTGGGAGGGGAGGCCTCCCAGGACGGGGGTGGGTTGGGATGGGGCTGGCAGATGACCGAGTGGGAGTTTGATTCTAGGGTCCCCTTCACCATGGGGGTGAATGCTCTGGGACATGAGCTCCTTGAACACTGTCACTCACCTCTAGTGAGTCTCCTCACTCCAGTGTGGGGCTCTGGACTCCAAAGGGTTTGGTTGGTCAGCCTCTGGCAAAAGCAGGAGGCCAGCATTGGACTCAATTGGACACTGGCTTGCTCCTTTCCTGCAGGCCTGGCCAGTCGCACCTGCCCCTCAAGGCCCCAGCCCCAGGGTCCTCCCTGTGTCAGAAAAGGCAGAAAGGCAAGAGGGGGCCTGTGGCCCTGAAGGACTATTCATGTGGGACCTCAGGGCCTGGACAGCCAGCCTCCTGCCCTGGCATTCCTGTCATGTGGATAGAGGGTGACATGGGCAGGACGGACTTTGGTGGTGTTCCTAGAGCCTGGGGTACTCTGGACTGTCTGATCCTGTGTGTGGCATAGAACTGAGTTAGCCAGAGTGATCTAGAGACAGAGAGGTCCATCCTGGCCACTCCTCAGAAGGAGGTAAGAGCTGATGCTGGTTCCTGGGAGCTCAGGACTTCTAGGCTGGGCATGGAAGAGACCAGCTTCCTTACACAATGAGGGGCCAAGAGCTATCCAGGAAGGCTCCTTTGGGAATGGGAGTGGGGATCAGGCACAGGCAAGCAGGTGGCCAGGAAGGGTCCCCAGTTAATTCTGAATTTGTTCCTCTAGAACTTCTGCCTCAGTATGTCCTATGTGGGAGGATCCAGGCTGGTGGACAAAATAAGGGGGGGGGGTGCTTCTCAGAAGAGGGGGAGGAGAGAGGAGACAGGAAAGTAAGGGAGGGATTGGGGGCACCCAATTCAGCTAGACAAAGGACCCTGCTTTCCTCTTGTTTACTGTAGCCTGGAGTCCCAGTGGGCCCTGCTGGGTCAGGTGGAGATGTCCTGGGGAAGGTGGGGGTCCATGGAGGTCAGACTGAGCTGCAAGGAGCCCAGGGGCCAAGGGAAAGGGGCCCTTAGTATCACCAGGTGTCCTGGGAGAGCCACAGGGCTGCAAAAGGAGCTGACCTGCTGGAAGGGGGTTCTGGGCAGGCCAGAAAGGCCTCCCTGGCTGGCGCCTCTGTCCAGCCCTAGTCCCGCCCGGCCGCACCCCTGACTCACTTCCTTTGCAAGGAACGGAAACCTCCCCAGAGCTTCCTCTGCTCCAGACGCTTCCTGGGGACCCGCAGGTGTCGCTGCCCACTCCAGGCCTCAGCTGGCCCAGGAGGCCCCTGAACCACCCATCTCTCTCTAGGGAGGACAACATTTCCTGCTTCCTGCTCCAGCCAGAGCTGGGGGAACACTGAGCTGCAGGTAGGGGGTGGGCTGTGGGGTGCAGGGACCCAAGCCAGCCTCCCAGGGTCAGGGCTTCATCCTTTTTTCCCAAGTCGTCTTTCTGTCCATCTTGAGCCCCACCTCTGCTGGCCTCTGGGGGTCTCTGCTGCTGCCCTGTTAGTCCTCACTGGCAGCGGCGTGGGTGGGGGTGGGGTGGGGGGAGGGGCGGGCGGATATATTGGGAAGACCTCAGTTTCGGGTGTAGGGGACTGGGAGGCCTGGGAAAAATCAGGGGACAGTGTTGGGGCCCCTTCTCCAAAGCATGTTTGCCAGAATCCCCCCGCTCCCGTCCCTGAGTAATGTGGTGTCTCTGAACTCCTGGGGGTGCTGGAGCTTCTGCTTCTTGGGGCCCTGCCTTGGGACGCAGCGGCCCCTGGCGCCAGATAGTCCGGGAGCTGCTGACGGGGGCGGGGTCCTGCTTGACCCTTCTTAATTCCTAATCGCCCGAGTGGCCCTCCAGGAAGCTGGGGTGGCCACCAGATAAGTTGCATGCCCTACCCCCAGCCACTTCCTCAAGGCCCTCAAGGCCCGCGGCGGTTTCTGGGCGGACCAGAGAGATTTGCATTGGGGCCCCACCGAGCAGTTTCCTGGTCAGTGGGGCGAGGTGGGACCAGGTTCTGGCGTGGGGCAACCCAGGTGGTACCCCGCGAGGCCCCACGGGTAAGGTCACTTGGGGCCAGGGTTTCTGTCGGCCCGCGGGGGAGGGCCATGGAGAGTCCGAAGACCCTCCCTATTTTCCTGTTGCAGGGAACGTGACCTGCATGCCGAGCGCAGATTCTGCGCCATGGACTGCGGCCAGCCCAGCTTGGAGTCCGCAGCCGCGGACCCCAGAGCCTCAGGCCCTTGCGTGATTGCTCCGGTGCGCGCTGTGCTCCGCCTGCGCCGCCGCGTGTGGCTACTGCGCAAGCGGCGTCTCCTGCAGCTGGGCTCTGGGTCCGACACTGGGACCGGGGCACTCAGGCCTGGCTGCGGCTCTGGGGCCCTGCGCGGGGAGCTGGACCAGCCGAAATTCTTCACCTTCGACGGCCCAGCGGAGCTGTCCTCCAGGACGCTGCGCAAGAGGCGCCGGCGCAGCCGCGTGGTGCTCTACCCTGAGGCTTCGCGCAAATACCGACCTCGCGCAGAGCGCCGGAGCCGCGCACAACGATGCCTGCTACTGCTCGCAGCCATCGTGGGTTTCCAGGTGCTCAATGCCATTGAGAACCTGGACGATAACGCTCAGCGCTACGACCTCGATGGGCTGGAGAAGGTGCTACAGCGAGCTGTGTTTGGCCAGCCGGCCGCCGTGGGCCGCATTGTGGCGCTGTTGCGGGACTATCTGGCCACGCATGTGCATAGCCGCCCGCTCCTCCTGGCACTGCATGGGCCCAGTGGCGTAGGCAAGAGTCACGTAGGCCGCCTCCTGGCACACCACTTCCGCGCGGTGCTCGAGGACAGCGCGCTCGTGCTGCAGTATCACTCACGGCACCACTGCCCACAGCCGCGCGCTGCGCAGGATTGCCGGAAGGATCTGGCGCGGCGTGTGGCTGAAGTGGTGGCACAGGCCGAGGCGGAAGAGAAGACCCCTCTCTTGGTAGTGGACGAGGTGGAGCTCCTACCGCCAGCGCTGCTGGATGAGCTAGACGGCTTCATGCAGCCGCAGCGTTCGCACCACTTTCACAATGCCATCTACGTGCTCCTTAGTGGCACAGGTGGCGCGGAGATCACCCGATTTGTATTGCAGAACGCCTCCCGCGCGCAGCCCCTGCGTCCTGACAGAGTCCGTGGTGCTCAAGCCGCTGCAGAGGAGTCCGAGGAGGAACTGCATGCCAGTCTTCGGGAGCTCCTGGCCCGCGAGCACCCACTGTGGCAGGCTGCGGCCATCGTGCCCTTCCTGCTGCTGGACAAGCAGGACGTGGTCAACTGCTTCCGGGATGAGATGGCCGGGGAGGGATTTTTTCCTGAGCAGGCTCGGGCAGAGCTCCTGGCCTCACAGCTCAGCTACTACCGTGTTGCTGGCCGTGAGTTTGCTATCACTGGCTGCAAGCAGGTGGTAGCCAAGGTGAACCTCTTGTAGCACAGGCGCACACACTGTGTTGGTGCAGCAGGAGGAGTGTGGGTGTGTGTGACCTGTGGTCACGAAGCTGCTTCACCCTGGAAGCTGGGGAGGCTGGCAGAGGTGTCTCAGCTCCGTGTTCCCAACTTCCAGTTCCACCCCAGAGCCCTGAGTTTGTCCCTGGGGTCATCAGGAGAGTAGCCACCTTCCTCCACACCTGCTGTGCCCCAGCACATCCCAGGCCTGTATGATGGGGTTTTGTTAGCCGCCCTAGGAGGTGGGCAGTCTGCTCTCAGGGTACAAATGACCTCAGAGGGCAAGCAGCCCCTAGGGCCACACAGCTAATCCCTAAGGTCACAGAGTTGGGATGTGAACCCAGCTCAATGGGTGCTTGCTGCAGCTTCCACAACCCCCAAATACACCCAGTGGCCCCCTGCACACCTCTTGGGCTTAGGGGCCCAAGGGCCATGAAAGCATTGGAGCAGTTGGGTGTCTCCACACCAATGAGTGATCCCAGATGCTCTGGATGATTCAGGCTGAAAGTGGTAGTAGGTGGGCCTAATTGGGGGGCCCAGAACTCTTTGGCTTCTACTGTCCTGGCCACTGAGCCCTGGCCACTGATCCACTCCAGGGCCCTGAACTGGGAAAGACGGCTATACAGAGATGCCTTGGATGCAGCTAGATGTGCAGAACCATGGCCCTGGATTCTTTTCCCAGGTGGAGTGGAGGGGGTCCCTTACATCCTGGCCCCTTCCTGGCCTGCAGGCTCTGGAGATGACACCCCGTGGACTCCACAGCCAGCACTTACAGCAGTGAGTGAAGGAAGTCCTGCTGTTTACACCCGCCTCCCCTCCAGGAGCCATATTTCCAGGAACAACAGGCTTGCGGGCTTGGCTATCTAGGGAGCAGTGGAGGGAAGGCGCCTCAGCAGATCCTGCCCCCTGCTGGCTGAGTCTCCCGTGCGGACCCTCCCTGCGCCTTGCTGTGGAGGTGGCTTGTCCTTGGTAGTAGAGGCGTCTGGACACCACGGTTGTGCACCTGTCTTCCCCTCCTGTCCACCAGACCGCTCAAGACCGGAATGCTCCGCCTCCCGGACTCCTCCCTCGGTGGGCGTTCGCAACGCCCGACTCAGTTCTGGAGCGGCCTCAGTGCTGCCGCCTGGTGTCCGCGCCCAGCTCCGCCCTGGAGTCTGCGCACCGCACTCGCCACCAACCTTGTCCCAGAGCGCGCCGCGTAGCAGGGAAACTGGAGCAAGGACTAGCGGGTGGCAGGAGGGGAGGGTCCAGCAAAGTGGCAGGGCCGCCCTCGTGAAGCACGGCCATGCACGCGCGCACCCTGGTCTTAACTCAGTTCGACCACGTCTCCAGGGACACCTTCTCCGAACCGTGACCACGGAGTCTAAGGTGTCCTTAGAAGGGTTCGCTGCTTAAGTGGTCACCCGAGCATGCTGGGTTACTGTCCCCCTTCCAACTCGCCCTGGCGGCGGTCTGCGGGCTTGGGCACTTGGATCTGGGTAGATTCGAGCCTCTCATAACACTGAGCGAGCGCGCAGGTTCAGGGCTTGGCCGGGGGATCTGGGTTGCACTGGGTGGTAGAACGTCTGCTCCTGATGCTTGTGGGGTGGGGTGGCCCGCTGTGGGAGCCCAGGACTGGCTCCATCTATCCTAGCCCAACTTGCGGGAGACAGCCTGCAGCAGGACGTCCACTGGGCAGTCCAGTGACCTGCGTTGATGCTTCAGGGGTGTGTGCGAGCTGCTGAGCTGGAGGCCATGTCCAGCCTGGGCAGGAGTGCTGTTGGGGTCCTCACCACTCCCCAGGAGGGCCCCCAGGACCAACACCACCACCCACCACCCCTGCCCACACACAGAGCACTCAGCCACAGGTGTGGCTTGCCAAACATGGCCTGTTCCCAATCAGCAGCACCTGACCATCCAAGAAATCTTATTTTATTTATTTATAAAACATTACATGGAGGCTAATTTCTGTGCTTAAGAGGAATGTGCAGAAAATGTCGGGGGCTGGTTATGTCACTCCTGTTAATAAATCGTGTGGCTCAAATCTAACAACCTACTTTTTTTCCCTTTTTTTGGTCAATTTCTCTCTCAGCCTGTATTTATTGGGCCATACTAATTAGATTTTTTACTTTCTAATATTTGAGAAATGTCAGAAGAGGGACTTGGTACAGGCTGGCAGGCTGATGGAGGGCGGGCGGGTGGAGTCCAGCTCAACACCAAGGCTTTCCAGGAGACCCATGAACAGCTGGAAGGTCCCCTGGACAGGTGCTGAGGGCAGGCTCCCAGGCTCTGCCTATTGGAAGCTACCTACTTTTCAGACTGTCCCAAATGGGACAGGCAATTTCCTCTGCATGTGTGTGGTCCATGTACACTGCCCTGAGGCACCCTTGGACCCCAGGTGTCACCATGTAGTGGCTCTTTGGTCTCTAACAGTGGATTTTTCTTAAAATGCATCTTGTCTGCCAGGCGAGGGAGTGCACATCTGGAATTCCAGTGGCTTAGGAGGCTGAGACAGGAGGATCTCCAGTTCAAAGCCAGCCTCAGCAACTGTGAGGTGCTAAACAACTCAGTGAGACCTTGTCTCTAAATAAAATAGAAAATAGGGCTCAGTGGTCGAGTGCCCCTAAGTTCAATCCCTGGTACAAAAAACAAAACAAAACAAACAAACAACAACAAAAACATTTTGTCTGATGGTGACAGCTGTTCCAGCCTTCTTTGCAATTGGTGTTTGGGATATATTTTCCTTGCTTGTAAACAGGAAGCAGATGGATTTTCAACAGATCCAATTTGAGAGTGCTGGTCTTTGAGCTGCTGAGTTTAGCCCATGACATTTACTGTGGTTGTGGATACTGGTGAACTTTGCAATTTTATTTTGTGCCTCTTGATGGTCCTACTTTTTTTATGCTGCTTTTTTTTTGGTGGTGCTGGGGATTGAACTCAGGGCCTTGTGCATGCAAGGCAAGCACCCTGCCAACTGAGCTATATCCCCAGCCCTTGCTTTTTCTTATTTCCCTCCCTCTCTCTCCCTTCTTTCTTCTGCCCCCACATTTCCAGTGTTCCCCTTTTCTCTCTAATGGGTTTAGAAGTTCCCATATGTATCTGAGTTAGCCCTGCCCCTCGAATGGGCATTCCAAGGCCGAGCAACAGGGCATGGTGGAGCACGCCTGTAATCCCAGCAGCTCAGGTGGCTGAGACAGGAGGATTGAGAGTTCACAGTCAGCCTCAGCAAAAACAAGGCGCTTACAACTTGGTGAGATTCTGTCTCTATAGCTAGCTAGCTAGTCATTTATTTTATTTATTTATTTATTTATGCTGGGGATTGAACCCAGGGCCTTGTGCATGCAAGGCAAAAACTCTACCAATTGAGCTATGTCCCCAGGGAGACCCTGTCTCTAACTAGAATACAAAATAGGGCTGGGAATGCGGCTCAGCTCAGTGAGCTCAGTGAGTGAATGCCCCTGAGTTCAATCCCTGGTACCAACAACAACAATAATAATACAAGACTGAGCAGCATCCACCCTTGCTCAGGTTAAGTGCTGTTTGCAAGCATTTCAGTGCTGCCCTCCCGTGTAAGCCCACATACCAGACCCCCAGACTCGGTTGACTCGTTTGTTCTTGGGTCTGGGATTGAACCCAGGGGCGCTCTATCACTGAGCTACATCCCCAGCCCTTTTTATTTTTATTTTGAGACAGGGTCTCATTAAGTTGTCCAGGCTTGCCTTGAACCTGCGACCCTCCTGCCTCACCCTCCCAAGTTGCTGGGGTCACAGGTGTGGCCACCACGCAGGCTATTTTATTCTTGTGACTTGATTTTTGTCCGATTCTTTGAAAAACTTTACAGGATGTGATTGAAATTTACTGACTCTACTGATCAGTTTGGGGAGGTTGATAAGATGACAACATTACACGTTAAGACTTTATTTACCATCTTTTTAAAAATATTTTTTAAGATATTGATGGATCTTTATTTTATTCATTCACCCTGGCCAGCAGAAATATAGTTTTATTTCATTTATTGCTAAGAATGGAACCTGTGCCTCACACATGGTAGGCAAGTGCTCCACCACTGAGCCACAAACCCAGCCCCCCACCCCTTTTTTTTTACCCTCTTTCAGCCAAGTTTTGTAATTTTGTACAGAAAGTTCTTGTTCGTTTTGGGTAGATTTATTCCTAGAATTGTTATAACCTTGGATTGGTGTTATAAAAGGTACTTGTCAAGTACAACATGTGATTGTAATTCAGAGTTTTCTCACGGAGCACCTGGCTCGCTTCCCCAGCAGGTCTGTCAGGGCCACAGCGCCCGCGGGGCTCCCCCTGTGGGCCCAGGCCAGCCTGCCTTCCAGAGGAACTGCCCCCGGTTGTCCTCATGCTTTGATGACTGAAGTTCACAACCCTAACTGCTCTCGTTTGTTTTTCAGGTTTTACTTTGTTGCTTGCTTATTAAAGAACATTCAATAAGCAGCTTTATTGAGTTACCCTTTGCACACAGCATACCATTCACTCACTCTAAGTGGACAATTGGGTGATTCTTTGGTGGACTACAGAGTCGTGCAACATGACCACAATTCAGCCTTAGACTGTCTGTATCACCTAGAGGATCTGGACTCCGTGTGTCCCTGTTCCCACCCTGCCTGAGATAAGCATGCACCCTTTCTGCCACTACAGGTTTGCTTTTTTAAAAAGCATTTCATTCACAATGGTTTATTATACATTTTATTAAGAACCGTGAGAAAGGCGTCTGCAGGCTCCCAACCCAAGGAAGCCCTGTGTTGAGGGGCAGACTTGCTCAGGGCCAGTTTGCAGGCTTCACCTGCGCTTCATCTGCCCCCCACCCCCCACCCCCCACGGGCACAAACACTTTGTGCTTGGAGCTTTTTGGAGCTTTTTGCATTGGACTTCTGGACGCTACTGTTCCTGAGGTTCACTGGCCACGCTGGAGGTCTCAGTCGCTCCTCCTGTGGATGGTAAACAGTATGGCTTCAGACAGATCAGGCACATTTTGCCCATGGGTTCACCCTGGAATTGCGGTGTGGACAGTCTGCATGTTTTAGCCATTATAAATAATGCAGTCAGGAACATTGGCCAAGCACGTCTTTGTCTGGACATATGTTTTCATTTCTCTTGAATAACGCCAAGGAATGGGATTGATAGGTCACAGGAAGAAGATCTATTTGATTATATGTGTGTGTGTGGAGCTGGGGACTGAACTCAGGACCCTGTGCATGCAAGGCAAGTGCTCTACCACTGAGCCATATCGTTGCCCTTGACTTTTATTGATGTGTGGTCTTACCGAGTTGCCCAGGCTGGCCTGGAACCTGTGACCCTTTTGTCTGGGCCTCCTGAGTTGCTGGGATGAAGGAGTGGTCTTCACATCCAGGTTTCAATCTGTTTTAATGCACCTGTGTCAGTCTCCCAGGGCTTCACAGGTTTCCACCAAGATTGCCTCCCAGAGATGCTGTGGAGCTCTGGGCAGGGGCCTGCAGGGCAGGCTGTGGGGGACAGCGGCGCTTACTGCCTCCCTCAGTAACTCAGCTGAAGACTCCATGGGGGCCAGGGCTGGGGCTCCGTGGGGCATTTTCTTAGCATGCATGAGGCCCTGGGTCCGATCCTCAGCACCACATAAAAATAAATCAATAAAATAAATGCACGGTGTCCATCTACAACAGCAACAACAGAAAGGCTCCACAGGTTTCTCTGGAGCTTGTGGGTGGCCTTGCACAGCTTTTCGGCATGCAGAACGGTGCTGTACAGAACACGCGGCACACCAGACCCCCCCTTCCCTGACGGTTCCTGAGGTAGACACTCATTATTGAAAGTGTCCTTCATGGTCAGCAGTCTCCACCCTCTGGAGATGTTTTGCAGGGTCTGAAACAATCTGAAGTTGCTCAGAACCTCACCTGACGAGTGTGCCCCGGTCCTCCGGTGACTGCAGAGTCCCCACGGGGTCTGTGCACCGTGCTACTCATTCACTGCGTCCTGAGGTCCACTGCATGCTTCCAACCCTGAGCTGACACCCAAATCCCGGGCCGTGGCAGGATGGGGCCAAGGACCTGGGAACTCTTCTCTGGATTTCTTGATATCTGCATTATAAAACTGTACATAGATAGAAAGCTAGTTTTAGAATATTGTCAGGGTTGTACGATTCTTACTACATCTGATTTTAGAATGTTTTTGTCACTTCAAAAAGACACCCTGGTGCAGGGGCTGTGGCTCAGGGGTAGAGCACTGGCCTGGCATGTGTGAGGCACTGGGTTTGGTCCTCAGCTCTGCAGAAAAATTAACAAATGAAATAAACATATTGTGTTCATCTACAACTAATAAAATAAAATAAAATAAGGGAAGAAACCCTGTGTAGTGGGACTCACTGCCATCCCACTGCCCAGCTCCAGCCCAGGCAGCTTATACATCTGGAATCCCACAGCACTTGTCCTTTGGTCTAGTGATGGCCTCCCAGATGGTGTGTCCTTTTTGGCTCCTGTGATGAAGCTGCTGTGGACTCTCCATACTCTCTTCTGTGCACAGGTCCTAAGTTTCCCTTGGGCACATACAGGGGCTTGTGGCTGCTGAGTCACATGCAATGTCTATTTTAACATTTTAAGGAACTACCAAGCTGTCTCCTTCTTCTTCTTCTTTTTTTTGGGTGGGGGGGCAGTGCTGGGGATGGAACCCAGGGCCTCACACATGCCAGGTGAATGTTCTACCGCTGAGTCACATCCCCAACCTTTTATAAATTCTTATTTTAAGACAGGGTCTTGCTAAGTTGTCCAGGCTGACCTCAAACTTGAGATCCTCCTGTTCTCAGCCTCCCGAGTCTCCGGGGCCACACGGCGTTTGCTGTGAATTCTCTTCGGTGGCTCTCTCGTGGCTTTGCACAGGTCTGGGGCTGTCACTGTGGCTGAGTCGGCCTGTTGCTAGATGCCACTGGGCTGCCTGCATATGGGATGCTCAGGTGACTCCAGGCGTGAGCCTTTCCACGCTGCCCTCCACCAGTTCCAGAGAGGGTTCTCTTGCCCGAGGGTCTGCACCCTGGCACTCTCCCACCTGCTTCGGTTCTGATGAAATGCCTGAGCTGTGTGTGGACACGCTCACGGCATGTTAGGTGCGAGTCTGGCTTCCTGGAACACTCTCGGGGAGACTCGGCCCTGAGGGGACGCTGGACGGTGGTTTCCATTTCCCTTCCTGCACGCGTTTCTCTCTGGGGACCTCTCACAGCTCGTTTGTGCGTTCTGTTGGTGGAACGTGGTTCATTCTCATTATTTTTACTATGGTGAGTGACCCTGGGCCCTAAGTGTTTTTGCAGCCTCTCTTTGGCACAAGAATTTGGGTTGAAATGGTTCCCCCAAATTATTAGGTTATATCTAACCCTCAGCGCCTCAGAAGGCAGCTTTATTTGGAGAAATGTGACAGGAGACAAAGCTGAACTGTGCGTGTCAGGATGGCCTAAGATGAGGGCGCAGCGAGGCTGTGTCCTCACAGGAAGAGCAGGCGTGGGCCAGACAGACGGACAGCAGGACAGGGTGGAGACGGGGCGCAGATGGGCCGCAGGCCGCCCATGTCCTCCTGCTCCAGGCTGCGGCACACTGAGGTCCTGCTGTCTCACCACCTGTGGGTGGCACTCTGTGGACAGCCGGTGACCCACACAGGAACATGCACTGGACAGGAATTCTGGTCCAGCTCAGCCCAGTGGCCAGTTTTCCCAAGTGGCTGCTCCCACCCAGGGCTGCTGGGGGCCTCTGCTCCACCTCTCGCCAACACCACCCTTTGAATTTGTGTCTCCTGGATGGACTTTTGTGAAGTGTCTATTCAAGTGTCTTGTCCATTTTGAATGAGGTTGCCTTTTCCTTACCTCGGTCACGGCAGGTACTGGAGACTGAACCCAGGAGTACACACACCCAACCTTTCTATATTTTTTTTTCCTTTTTTTGTACCAGGCACTGAACCTATGGGCACTGAACACTGGGCCACACCGTCAGCCCTATTTTGTATTTTATTTAGAGATAGGGTCTCACAGAGTTGCTTAGCGCTTCCCCGTTGCTGAGGCTGGCTTTGAACTCGTGATCCTCCTGCCTCAGCCTCCTGAGCCACTGGGATTACAGGCGTGGGCCACTGCACTCAGCTTCTATTTTTCCTTTTTAATTTAAATTTTAGTTTTTTGTAGTTGTAAATGGACAGCATGCCTTTATTTTGTTTATTTTTGGTATATGGTCCTAAGGATTGAATCCAGTGTCTTGTGGATGCTAGGCAAGCACTCTGCCACTGAGCCCCAGCCCCAGCCCCAGAACACTTTCTATTTTGAAACAGGGTCTGGATAACGTTCCCAGGCAAGCCTCAAACTTGCAATCCTCCTGCCTCAGCCTCCTGAATCGCTGGGATCACAGCTCCCTGGGTTCTGTTTCTCGTGGATTCTTCAAGGGGCTAGTAACTTCTGAGTAGGAGCCTCCTTTGTACTAGGTGTTGCAAATATCTTCTTCCACACTGTGGCTCACTTCCCTGCCTCCTATGTTTTTTCTTGTTGTTTTGTTTTGTACTGGGGATTGAACCCTGGGGTGCTTAACCTGGCCACATCCCCAACCCTTTTATTTTTTCTTATTTTGAGAAGAATGTTGCTAAATTGCTTAGGGGCTCACTTGTGATCCTCCTGCCTCAGCCTCTGGAGTCACTGGGATTATAGTCTTATGTCACTGTACGCAGGCTTGATGGTTGTTTTGATGAGCAGGAAATCTCAATTTTATCTATTTATTTTTTTTAAATATTTTTTTAGTTTTAGATGGACACAATACCTTTATTAGTTTTTACGTGGTGCTGAGGATCTAACCCAGGGCCTCACACGTGCAAGGCGCACGCTCTACCACTGAGCCATAACCCCAACCCCAGGAAAATCTCGATTTTAATGTGTTCATGTGTATTTATCTTTTCCTTTATATCTCTTGCTTTTTGTGCCCTATTTAAGAGATCTCTCCTGGGTGTGGTGGTGCACACCTGTGATCCTTGGGAGGCCAAGGCAGGAGGATTGCAAGTTTGAGGCCAGCCTGGACACCTTAATTAGTGAATTATTTCAGTGCTAGGGCCTGAACCCAGGGCCACTTACCACCGAGCCACATGCTGTGGCAGTCAGCTTTTCTTTGCTAGGACCAAAATACCCAAGAATCACTCTTTAGAGGAGGACGAGCTCATTTTGGCTAATGGTTTCATGGTTTGGTCAGTGGTGCACTGACTCCACGGCTCTGGGCAAAGAAGGTGGAGGGTGTGATGCGGCCAGGAAGCATGCCCCCAGTGCCCACATTCTCCAGCCACGGCCCACTGCCCTGTCCATTGCTGAGCTGACAAGGTCACAGCTCTCAGTGCCGCGTCTCACCCTGGACCTTCCTGTGCAGCACAGGAACTGCTAGGGCCGCCTCTTATCCAAACCATACACACCACCCTCAGCCCCACCCTGGCCTTTTGTTTTTGGAAGCATGGTCTGCCTTGAATTTGCAATCCTTGTGCCTCAGCCTCAGGAGTCACTGGGATGACAGGGGTGCGCCACTTCCCCAAATAAAATTTGAGAGGCTGGGGTAGTGGCTCAGGGGTGGAGCACTTGCCTAGCATGTGTGAGGCACTGGGTTCAATCCCCAGCCCCACATATGAATAAATAAAATTCCAGAGGGGCTGAGCGGTAGAGTGCTTGCCTAGCAG